TATTTTGGCATACTGCTTCTTCCTGGTTATTGTAAACAACCTTCCCGAAGAATGTACTGGGAGACTAAAGCGGACACATATATAATAGTCTTGTAAGTAACAGCATATCTCGTGACAGATTTGAAACAATTCATCGCTATTTACATTTCAACGATAATAATTCCATAGATCCAAATAACAGAACATATAAAATTCAACCACTACTAGATCAGATAAATAAGGTATCTCAAGACTTAGCCCAGCCTCTAGGAAAGTTCTTTTCACTAGACGAGGCAATGGAACCATATTTTGGAAATCACCACATGAAACAGTTCATCAGAGGGAAACCAATTAGATGTGGTTTCAAATTTTAGTGCCTCACTACTTCAGAACGATATTTTTGTTGGAATTCAACCCGTATTGTGGTAAAGGAGACAGAATAGACGGAGAAACTTAAAATTCTAGTGTTACTGAAACTCTTTGCATTGGCTATTTACCTGATGAGTCAACAGTTTTCATCGACAAATTTTTCAATTCGTTTCCACTATTGGAAACTCTCACAGTAAATAACATTTAATGTTTTGGTACTTTGCGATCAGATAGAATTAAAGAAGCTTCACTAATTGATCTGAAGAAACAGAAACGAGGCACATCGCATGGAAACAAAAACTAATTCAGTGCTGATCAGGTGGTATGACAATAGTCAAGTTACCATCGATACTAATTATTATGTGGAAAATGGTACATGCTTCATCAAAGGATTCTGAAAAAGATGGTCAAAAGAAACGTGTAGATGTCGATCAACCCAACATAGTACACCTATATAGTCAAGGAATGGGAGGTGTCGACTAATTTGACAAAAGGCGAGGATTTTATCGTGTCAGAATTCGATCAAGGAAATGGTATTGGCCATTTATTATTTATTAGATTTGAATAAGTGGATGCTATATAGATTTGCTCATTCTGAAATCAGCCTCATTCAGTTCATACGAAGGATTGTGCTTTCTCTGCTTTGTTCTCCAATGTATTTAGCTGGACCTAAGCCCAAGTGCACTAGAAGCATCCTGTAAAAGGTGAGATTTGATGGTGTCGACCGTCTAGTTGATAAACAGGCTACACAAAGAAGATGTGGTCGTTGTAAGCAATGTTCCAAATTTTCCTGTGTCAAATGTAATATTGGATTACATCCAGATAGCTGTTTCCGCTAATATCATGCACTATCAAAATAATTGACCCACACGGTAACAATAATTGATATTTCAATAATTTGATTCAATAAAATTTCAATTTCAAACTACATTATTTCTTATTTTACCCTCACACCTCATAATGCTAACCCCCATATGCCAACCGTATGATATATCATACGTGAAAAGAATATACTCTTAATAAAAAATTAATGTTTGAAATGATTACGTAGTTAATCTAGATGCAAATTAGATGTCTTCCTAGAAAAATAACCGGAATCGACAAAAAAATTACCCAGGCACTAATGGGTTGGTGATCAGAAATCCATACTTAATTGGATTAGGAACGTTTCCTACTACTCGATCTTCGACTCTAAATACAGCATTAAATGATACTAGTGGTATTTTCATTATAATCATATTCATTACATTCATGTTATGGGTTTTACCGTAAACGGGGCTATTTTGTCACCTTCTGGATATATTTTACTCTGTAACTATTTTAGTTTTTCGAATTTTGGCCTGAGAAAAATCAAGTATATCGACTTCATTTTGTATGCGTAGCCAGAAAACTAGCTGCCTAGCATCCATAGGAAAGAACAAAAGAAGGTATAGGGTGATAAAGTGTTTGAGGCTAATTTGTGACCTCATTGAAAATATCGAATCTCGAATGTATAAAACACTTGCTTTAAAACGTTAAAATAACATTAATGAACACAAAATGCGTTGTGAATGTTCTGTAACATCAACAAGAAAATGAATAATAATATTTTCGGACTTCTTTATATGAAAAAACTGAAAATATTCTGTAATATCGATAAGGGCATTTGAATAATATTCTCTCTGGCACTTTGGCTAACTGGGTTTTCTGGGATGTCATCTGAATGATCTACAGTCTCATACGATGACAAAATTCTTGTTCCAGCTTCAACCTTTTGCCTACGCTTGCGTTTGATGGACGGATCTTCAGCGACACCTCGGTGTTCTTGCAACAATTCAATGAGGCTTGTGTCCTGTAGACGCCTCACCACTTCTTGCTGGATTGCAGCATTCGGCAACCTTCTCAAAACTTCCTGTGGATTGCATGGAAGAAGTCCGGTAGCTCTGAAGCCAGACATCAAATTTTGTTTGAGGTTGGGTTGAATCTGCGGCCACAGTCTGTTGAGCAACAGAGGAAATTGCTCCTTTGGAATAGAAACAAGATAGCGGCTTTCTTCTCTCCACATGTCTAGAATCACTCTTCACGTTCTCCTCATAGGTGCAAAAACTGCCACGTCCAATGGCTGCATTGAGTGCGTAGCATTTGGTGAAAACGGTATTAAATAAATATCCTGTTCCTTTCCTGTGCGATCCTAATGACGTTTGAGGCGAAATCGCCCACTACGATAACTCTCTTTCCTGGTTGCCTAGTCCGTTGAATGTGTGGTTCCAAAATTCGAGTAAACCAGATTCCAAAAAATTGGCATCGAACCATCCACAAGGGCTATTTTTATAGACAGTCCCAGTAGGTGCACCGACACACCAATTCTCGTAAAGATTGTAGGCCTTCCAAACAACCATGGGTAGTAAAAGTTTACCACTCGCAGTTCCGCACACTATAATGCTGATTGCTGTTCTAGAGAAATTCTGAACCTGTTCCACTCTTTTGCAATTCCAAGGAACAATAACTTTTCGTGCCCCAGGGTCATCTGTGATATTCGTTTCATCGTAATTATATATATGATCACCTGAGAATTCTAACAAAGCCGGTGTTATGTTATCGAAGAATTTATTAACGCTATACTGATCAACAGAAGCGCAGGATCTTTTAATGTTGGATGCCATCCTTACAGATAGATTGTTCCTCTGGATAAATAACGCTACCATATCCTCTCCCGGAAGATTGTCTTTCAGCAAAGGAATAACAACAACTTTGTTGTCCAATATTTTTTTCCCTATTTTCTTGATATCGGCTTTAGTAAGCAGAAAGCCCCAATCTGCAACGACGCCAAGGGTTTTTGCGATGATTGCTTCTTTCTCCGGATTCAGGATGGTTGGATGACCTCTAGGTTTGGTATGCCTACTGAGGCATCTATTAGTGAGAGTATTTCGTGGAATTCGATGAAATCTGGACGCCTGTTTTTTGCTCATACCATCTTGCACTGCGCGCATCGCTTTCCCCACCTGTTCTTCAGTGAAGTTGTGGTAGGTCCAGCTGGTGAGAGTTCTTTCGTAGGTCTGCATTTTTTTCCTAGTCGATTAGAACCTGTTAAAAAAACTAGCTTCGCTGAATCCAGCAAATAACAAAAAAAAATTAGAAAAAAATTAAAATCCAACAGTGCGCACAAGATGACATAGTTACCCCGGGTGACAAAGTAACCCCGTTTTACGGAACAATATATTGTTAAACGCAGACAAGGAAAACAAACTGAAAAGGAGAATTTGAATTGAAAGAAGTTATTGAGAATCAGCATATAAAAAGTAGTTCAGGAGAGGAGAATGAAATTGAAGATCAGAAAATAGAAATGAAAAAGACGAACAAAAATGACTTGAAAACATAGCTATATATTGATATCTTGCAAATACAGTAGTTGTAAGTGACATACCTTGGCATATCGGTACAGAGTGAGGCATATATATATATATATATATATATAGAAAAAGGTACTTATACATAGAAAAAGGTATATAGAATGATAAGGTACTGTTACCAAATCAGGCATGTCATTCAAAAATGATCATAAAATAACTTACTAATGTTATAATGACCGTATCAAGCTCCGTAGAGCAAATGATCGTACAATTTCTAAGTCTCAAAGTCATTCAACGGCCTAGCCAATCAGCGGCTAGCGTTCGTTGGGGACCGTGGGTATTTATATCGGTCCGTTTTCCGCTAGCTAGCACATTCAGCAGTAAGCAGCCAATACATAGTGATCACAGTGAGATAGTGAATCTTCGTGAGTAAGCTATATCATTTGACCATTATTTGTCTACCTATTGTCCGATTGATGTTTTGATTTCCTGTTATACTACTAGCGATATAAGTAAAAGCGAGATATCTACAGCGAATTGCATACCTTTGATACAATTGATATATGGTCTTGTACCATTAATTCTTTGTATCATAACCTATACTTTCGGGAATTGTTTTTAGAAATAAAAGCACCCCGAAAGACATTCTCTCTCTTTCAGACGACCGTTACGCGGGACCCCCACCGCTAGCGTATCACACTTACTATCGATACCATTTTGGGCTATATTTCTTCATATTAATCAATTTGTATCATAACAAAACCTTAGGAGACCGTTTTTAGAAATAGAAACATACTTCTAACACATACCTTCTTTTCAAACGATCGTTACGCAGGACCCCCACTGCTAGCGTATCAAACTTTTTCTCTTTCAGACGACCGTTACGTGGGACCCCCACCGCTAGCGTGTCACACTTGATACATCTTTGTATTACATTTTTATATATTAATCATATGTATTAACTCTGATACTCTAGAAGTTTGTTTTTAGAAATAAAAACACTCTGCTAGAGACACTGTGCAACCCTTCTTTTCAGGTAATAACCCTCATTACCTCTAGGTACTAAACCAACTTCTATAATCCGTACTCGTACAGATTATAGAAATCTTTCTTCCAGCTTTAATCTCCTTTCATTCCACAGGAATATCTAAAAGCTATTACTGTCTACTCATTACTTTTATTTTTCAGAATCCTAATCTTTAATCTTTTCCTCCTAAACAACACTTCAAGTAACCGTGGAAAGCGAACTAAAACTAACCAGTCCTTTTTTCAGTTTTTGCTGCAAAAATCGAGTCTAACTCGATTCAAGCAGCAAAAACAAAAATGGCTTCTCTTCCACCCCCCACAGGCACAGGTGCGGTCCCAAAAATCGAGGACAAAAAAGAAAAGAAAATCAGAAAATCGTTAGTTCCGGAAACTAAGATCATGCAACTCCAGCTCCAAAAATTCGAACAGAAGATCAAGGAGCAAGACATGGAAATTGCTGCCCAATGGCAAGAATTGACCAAGTTGATGATAATGAACCAAGAGCTAACACTTAGGCTAGAAAACCAAATAGCGCGCCAACTAGTTGCTCAACAGGAGCCCTCTCCAGCCAATTATGAATTACCGAATTCCCAGACCGCCGAAGAAGACCTGATGATGGATGTCGCTGGCCATCAAGGCCTCAAGAGGCTAAGGTCACTCTCAGAAACCGAAAAGGACACCCCAACCAACCCCCCCATGGGCATCCCCGAGCAGACAGCTGGACCTTCTCAGCCCACTGAGAAGAAAACAGCAAAAAGTGCTATCCCCCCGATAGTACTGAAAACGTCGTCGGAATGGACCCTAGTCCAAAGAAAATTGGCCTCGAAAGGGGTTAAAGTGGACACTGGAAAACTGACTAAAGGCGGAGTCAAAATCCAGACAAAAACGGTGGAAGAATACCGGTCAGCCACCAAAATCCTGGAAGAAGAAAAACACGAGTTCCACACTTACTCGCTGCCCGATGACAAACCGCACTACGCGGTTATGAGAGGCATCGATATCAGTGTGAAACCACTGGACATAAAAGAAGACCTGGAGTCCAAAGGGCTAATCATCCTGGCAGTGCACAGGATGAAATCCGTGAGGACGAAGAAAGAAATCCCATTGGTACTAGTCCAAGTACCAAAGTCAGACCCCAGAATTTGGAAAGTGAGCGACAGTTGTGGATACTCCGTGAAAATGGAAATTCAGAACCCCCCACCCAAGAAGGTAGCCCAATGCCACAGATGCCAGCAATTTGGTCACGGACAGACCAACTGCAGGCGTGAGTACAGATGCGTGAAGTGCGGCGAACCCCACCCCACCCCAACATGCCCAAAACCAAGGCACACCGACGCCACGTGTGCCAACTGCAAAGGCAAACATCCAGCCAACGTCAGAGGATGCCCCAAAACCCCGAAACTGCCAACCACAGCAGCAAAACCCACCACCAAACCAGCCCCAAAACCAAGGACTCGACAGGCAACTGCAGCATCCACCACAATCCCAGGTAGGACGTATGCTAATGCAACTACTTCCACAGCGCAGGTGAAGAAGATACCTTCTCCCCTAGCTCAACCCATCCCCCTAGGTATTCCCCAGGAACACCTAGCGTTCATGCAGCAGTCAATGCAGCAAGCTATAGCCCAAGTCATGCAGATCCTAATGCAGCAAACAGCAGCATTCCTACAAACATCCGTGCCGGTCACCGATGGAGGATCGTGAGCACGAACTACAAACAGACGCTTTGAAAGTAAGCTCTTGGAACATCAGCGGAGCACTTCTTCGACGTCTAGAACTCGAGGAATTTCTGTCCAGAAATTCCATTGATATCATGGATTTACAAGAGTCCCGACTCAAACCAGACCAAAAGTTCAGAATGCCTGGCTACCAAATCTATCGTGAAGACCTACCAGGCGCGAGAGCTACGGGAGGAGTTCTTCTCCTCGTCAAGAACCCCATCGCCCACCACTAACTACCCACCCCGCCACTGGAGCACATGGAAGTAGTCATGGTGGCTGTGAAAACAGCAAACCATGGCATCATTTGGATCGCCTCAGTATATCTATCACCGCAACTCATCCATCCCCTAACCCGGAGGGATCGAACAGGAAGCAGACCATAGCCATCGGCGACTGGAACTGCAGATCACCACACTGGCACTGCCCGAACACCAACTCCAAAGGTAAGCAACTAATCAATTTTCTAGAACACCACCCAGATGTCTCCCTAGTGGCCCCGCAAGGACCCACCAGATACACCGACAATGGACTGCCCTCCACCCTGGATCTTGCCCTCCTGCGAGGCCTCCAACTTCCAGTCGATATTGATGTCCTCTACGACGGCACATCTGACCATGTCCCTATTCTACTTCATGTAGGAGAAGGACACGAGCCAGATGGACCAGTCACGAGGAACAAAACCGACTGGACGCTCTTCCAGAGAAGCTTCCACGACCAAATGGGCCCCATGCCCATTATAGTCACCGAAGAAGACCTGGAAAACGCCGTGAGGACCTTCGAGCAGGATGTCCAAGCAGCCATGGAGAACAGCACCACTGTCACCCAAACCACCAGGTGGAACCTGCAGCACGAGATCCCTCCCGAACTTCGAGCACTCCTCCGTGAAAAGAGAAGAGCCCGAAGACTATCCATGGCAACCAGACACCCCGAACACAACCGACTAGCCAGGCAGCTAGCCAGAGAAGTCAGAACCGAACTCCAAAAACTCGCAGACGACAGATGGGAACGTAAGCTCACATCTTTGGACACTGAGGACAACAGCATTTGGCGAATGCAAAAACTCCTTAGACATCGAAGGACACCGATACCACCACTCCACGGAGAAAATGGTATTGTGTATACCAACGAAGACAAGGCCACCGCATTTGCAGACTCCCTGGAGCGCCAATTTGTAGAAAACCACACCCCATATGATGATGAAGCCCACGAAACCAGAATCCGACGCCACGTTCGCCTCATCAGACGCACTGACGACGAGAATGATTTCCTCCGACCAACGTCACCCGAGGAAATCAAACAGATCATCAGAAGCCTGAAAGTCAAAAAAGCCCCAGGTATCGACCAGATACCCAACAAGGCCCTCAAACAACTACCCCGGAAAGGAATAGCTGCCCTAGTCAACATCACCAATGCCATCCTACGCCTGAAGCACTTCCAGGACCAGCAAGCAGCCCTCTGGACACGTCTCAATCGGAGGTCGAGATATACAATGAACCGACTCAGCAAAGTAACTTGGAGTCACCATAGACAAAGGTCTAACCTTTCAAGCCCATGTGAAGGATCGACTCAACCTCGCAACAGCAGCCAGATCCAAACTCTACCCACTCATGGGCAGAGCAAACAAACTCCGAACCGACCTGAAGCTCCTACTCCTCAAGCAAGTGCTTCTGCCTATACTGACCTACGCGTCAGTGGCATGGGCACACTGCGCTCCTACTCACCGTCATAGAATCCAATCGTTCGAGAACCGAAGCCTGAGGATGATCGTCGATGCCCCCTGGTACGTCCGTAACACCATCATTTTCAAGGACTTGAACCACACCAAGGTCCTGGATCGGATGAAAACTCGAGCCCAAATCACCATCGCCAAGATGGAAGCTCACGACAACCCTCAGATAAGGGAAGCTCTTGACTACGACCCCAGGTTCAGGGAGCGACAGAAGCGGCCAAAACACTAGCTCTTGGACGCCTAGCCAATCGCTCACCCACAGAACCCACCAGGTAAGCCAAAACACAATGCACACTGGAACAATAATGATTTCGACCGAAGAAATCCTTAGGACATACCACCCTTTCAAAACGCCTTGAAATAGCAACTATTTCAAACAATGACAATCCTTGTGATTCCAACTTGCCAACACACACACCAAAACACGTGAAAGCCCTTACACACTTCACAGTCATGTTCCAAGAGAACAATCTAATTCAGGATTTTCTTGCCTAAATCCACTGGTTCACTTCCCAAAACGCCCGACTCTTGAAGTCTTTCGCCCCAAAAGGTCTTTTTGTGAGGACCATTGCGTTGCAACGGGGGAGGTGGCAGCGGTTAAGGCTGCTCCTAGTCATCTTCAATGATTAGTTTAGAAGCCCAAACCACAACATATGTATCCTTTCAGGATAATTAATAAAATTCGCCTATTACTTTGATATTCTATAACATTGTATTTCTTACAGAGAAGCAGCGACTTGGAATTTCATAGTCTGCCGACCTTTCAGGCAACTAGAAGGCCCCAAAGCCCAGCAGTTAGATCGTGTCTGCGAGTCTAAGTGTGGAAAGCAAGGTACGGCAAAGACAGCACTCGATAACTCACTTTGAGTTATAAGAGACTGTTTTTAACCGTAGTGCCCCTTCACAAGGGTTTTCACATCAAGACTCGGCCTGATCCGAGCCTAGCAGTAACGGTAAGTGAACAAAACACCCCATCCTTCAATATATATAGAATACACGGAAACACAAACTTTCTGTTTGGTGGTAGCCATTAGTGGCGAAAACCAGTTAAAAAAAAGTTCTTGGACGTGTCACAAAACCAAGAATATAATAATTATCAACATAATTATTAAATAATGAAATATCATCATGCCGTCGGACGATGAAAACCGCAGGAGTCGGAGCGGGTATAGAAAAACTAGCCTAACAACTCCCAGCGAGGAGGAAACCAAAAAATTAAAAAGAAAACTCAGGGAGGAAAAAGCTCGCGAAGCTGCCCGGGAAGAGGAAATAAATACCTTGAGAGAAAGAGCCCAAGCAGCTGAAAACGAACGCTTGGTTCGAATAGAAAAAACGCGAGAAGCTGAAAATCGCGCTAGAGCCCTCCAAGACCAGCTCTCCAAGCTAATAGAGAAAATCGATCGTGTGACACCAACGATCCAGGATCTGCAGGAAAAACTGCAGCCAAAGCCCCTCCCCCTTACGAAACTACCAATAGAAGCTAGTAAGAAGGGAGACACCGGTACGGACGAGAAAGCTAAAAATCAGAAAATTCCAACTCCAAAAAACCTCACCCCAGGCGGAATCGCAAGCTGGTTCTGTTGGAGTTTGGGTCGTTCAAATATTTTAAGTTTTTGAGTTTCTTTTTGGAAATATGTTTGGGGTATAACAACAATAATTATTGTTATCATTTTCATAATTTCTTTATTCTACTGAAGTTTGCATATTTTCGTGCATATCTGATAAGCATAAATGTATTGTTGGTTGCATATGTAGTGTGAGCCTTTGCCAAATGCTATCGAGGATAGTGCGAACTCATCCGAGCAGCGCATGCGACAACGTTTTTTCGAATGAGAGTCGAGGTGAACACGCTTCGCAATTTTTGGTTTGATTTCGTGAGAAACATTTTTCAAAAATAAATAGTTTGGTGGTGGTTTGGTGCAACAATAAACTCAAGAAGTTACACGCTGCAATAGCTAAGCTGAGTTTCTGGCCGGCCGGCAGATAAAGAAATAATTTGTCGATCAAAGAGGTAAGCCGCTTTTTTTTCTGCTTTCAGTCGGTCTAACTGAATTTATACAGTCCACATCTTCTTTGTTGTTGAAACGCGAACATTTTTTGATCCTTCTCACCGGATTGTTGGTAACTATTGATAATTATTGTTGTTGCCCGCATTGAAATTTGTTTCATAAAAATTTTATAGTTCAAATTGAAGTATTCATCTTATTCATTTCTATTCTGATAGATAAAAGTTGCGATAAAAGCTCTGAATTCGAACAAATTCAAATTAACAACAAAAAACTATTTGTTCAACACCCAGATTTAATAAAACAAATATTTGATCTTGCAAGAAACGGAATAAAAATTATCTAGTGAAATGGCATGTTTTGAAATAAATCACAGTTTGAATTGTTGGATTAACATTCATTTTATGTATATATCTACCTATAGATCTTTATTCATATTATTCTCTATTTTCAAGGGTTAAGTGGAAGAGCATTATCTGAAAATCCTTGATTTACAGGAAATGAACTTCGCCCTTTATTTCCACTTATAGTATTTATAAGATGAGATTGATGTTTATTTTATATATGGAAATAATAAAGACGATATATTATTATATTATTATTATTATAAAAAAGAACATTTTTTGCGCGATCGACCTTGTCCTAGAACCTAGAAGAAACTCATTTTTTGTTGAGGAATACCATTTGGGAATTCCAATAGGTTCATTGCCTTTTTGGATATATAGAATCAGTTCACGTTGTTTGATAAAAACTAAAACTTGATTAGCTCATGCAATATTCACTAGTTGATATAAAAAATTCCAATACCTACCTCCTATCCCTATCCTCCCTAGGAACGTACGATGTTCCTTGAACATTATTAGGATTCCCTTTCGTGCGCTCCAAGCGATAAAAAAACGAAGTGATTGGGCCATTGTTTGTTAATGGGAATTTAAATTAAGGCATTTATTTAGATATGTTGGAAAATACCACCAATCCTCTTATCACTGAAACTATTGAAAACCAAATCGAAGACAATGGAAACCCTATACTTGATGAGGCTGAAATATATTTCCAGCAAGACGGCGCTCCTCCTCACTATGTTCTTCCGGTTCGGCAATGGCTAGACGACCAGTTTCCAGATAGTGCGAAGAGGACCTATAGAATGGCCTGCTAGATCTCCTGCTTTGACGCCATTAGACTTTTTTCTATAGGGACATTTGAAATCTATTGTGTTCACCCCCCAACCTGAAAGTTTGGATGAACTTAGTCAACGCATCATCGAAAGCTGCCGTGATTTTCCACAACATGTTTTTGAAAATGTCCGTCAGGAATTTGAACATCGCCTATATTATTGTTTGGCCAATAACGGGCAACATTTTGAACACTTACATTCTTATCTTGGACAGACTGTTTGGCTGATTCACGGTGGATGGCACATTAGACGTTTCTGGAGAACGCAACTCAAGATTTTACTGAAAAGTTCGGGCCTTGGATAATTAGTTGTATTCTATCGACCTTAAATATTCTCAGTATTTCGACGTTGCCGCTTATATTGCAAAGTAGCAACAACTTTGATTGTTTGAATGGGATACCCTGTATATCATTCCATTTTCAGATTCTCCCTGAAGAACTGATTCTATTGATCTAATATACTTGGTGTCTAGCAGTAATAAATACATACATTGGATGTGAAAAAATCGAGATTTTACAACTGAAAGAGTTTTTTGTGTCGAAACTATTCATCATTGATCAAAACGGTTTTCATGTGCCTATATTGACTTTTTATGTACTATCAATTGATATTTAATAGATACAGGGTGGTCAAAAATCTTAATTATGAACCACCCTGTATTTATTTCGAATAAATATCAATTGATAGTGAATAAAATGTTGGGATGGGAATATGAAAACCGTTTTGAACAATTATGAATAGTTTCGACACAAAAATTCCTAAAGTTGGAAAATATCGATTTTTCACATCCCATAACTCTGTATTTATTACTGCTAGACCCCAAGTGTTATTGGTCGAAAGAATCAGCTCTTCAGGGAAAATCCGAAAATGGAATAATATACAGGGTGGCCGTTTGATAAATCGGAGTTGTTGCTTTTTTTTAATATAAGCGGCAACGTCGCAACACTGAGAGTATTTTAGGTAGCTGAAACACAACTTATCATCCAAGGCACCATTTTTTGTGCGTTCTCCAGAAACGTCGTGGATCAGCATGTATAGGAAACCTCATCTTCACCTAATATCATTCGTTGATGATTTCAGATTTGAGCTCGATCTTTTATACATATTAGTATTTTATTTTCAGAGTATTGTAGATCATATCCTGAAGAAGACATCACTATGTGGGATTCAGTAAGCGAAGATAAAACATCAGGAAGCGAGTATTGTGCTTCATCAAGTTACGACTCTGATGAGGTCAGCAAACAGTACAACAAAACATCGAAAAGAAAAATAACAAACGAAATTAGAAAGAAAACGTTAGGCAGAAATAGCAGACCACATTCGAATGACGTAATAAGGATTCAAAATATTACAATCGACAATAAAAATGAGAAAATTATAGAAAGTGAGCAAACACCATCTGATGCAGCTAATCAGCTAGGGGTTGGAACAAATGAAGAGAATGTTTACGATGTTGAAGATAAAGTATTTTTGATAGAGGAATATCTGAACAGCATACAAGATAATAATGAACAGAAGACATCCCAAATTGACCGAACATTTTATGAAGAGAATGGGGAAGAATCGAAGATAAGACAATTTCTGTCACAATTCCTAAGCAAAAAAAAAAATAATAGAGTAATCAGAAATATACAAGAAACAGAGAATACATTTGAAAATGAAGAACGGAGAAATGAGAAACAATCAGGAGTATTGGATTTTGGGGAAAGTGGGAAATACCAATTTGACAGGTTTTGAAACACCATGAAATGAATCACCCCAGGACCGCACTGAAGGAAAAAATGAACGAATAAGTATGGGAAGTTCCGGAAAGAACACAAGCGATGAGTCATTCGACAGACCGTTTGAAACAAAAATAACTAGAAATAATATAGAAATCGTTGCTGTCATAAGACCGACGGCAAAAGAATCAGAAATGAAACTCATGTATGCTACTTTTGCAACAAGAAAATCATAGATATGTCATTTTGAAACTGTTCATGGAAACGAATGTGGAGTAGAAAAATATCGTAGCATTCCCAAAAAATTCAAAACAACGTCGGCACGGTTTCATCGAGATCATCAGAATAGGTGATTTTTATCATAACTGCAATGTTATGACTACTAAGAATAGAGAAATAGTGCTTATTCGTAGACCAACTGCGAATGAAGCTGAATATATAAGTGATTCTAATTATGGAACGTGTCCCAATTGCTTGGGTTTCTTGTTGAAGAAACATAATTGGCATTATATAAAACACACTTGTAAGGAGAAAATCACTCTGACTAGAGACACAACTTCTAAGCATGTTATTGCAGAGAGTAATGCAATTATAGCTGATATTTTTTGGATTTGAGTTCACAAAAGAATACAATGATTGACGGTCGTGGGTTCGATTCCTATCGACTGCAGAAATGTTTCTGATGGCCCAAGAAAGTGTTTGGATCACACGTTAAAAGGTAAGGCCCCCGTCATTCTTTGCTCGCACAAGTCTTTCGAAGACTTCTGAGGGTTGCTCGTAAGGGGGCAACCGAATGACGGATATAACAATTTTAGAACAATTTTAGAACAGGTATTACACCCAATTACAAGACAAGCAATATAATCAACACAGCAAACATAGACAAGAATGATAATTATGAGATTTGGGGCAATGCAATTCGAGAAATAGGGAAGTTATCAATGTGAGTTCATTCGTAGAACAATGCGCCAGCTAGGTCAATTAAGTTTAGCCCTGAAAGAAATAAGTAATGACACTAAGGACAAACCATTATGTCAATTATTGATCCTTCAAAAATTCGATACCATCGTACAAGCAACGAAACATGCTTGTACGATGCACCCAGTTTGGCACTCAGAATTAGGTATGCTTTGAAGAAGTATGTATCAATCGAAAGGGGGGTTGCCCTCAGAACTGGGAACATAAAAAGTAATGAAGCACTAGTTTCGTTTCTTCATCTCATGGAAATGGATTGGAATATTCGCATTTCATCTAATGCGTTATCAACCTTGTATAAGAGAAAACTGGATACCACACAATTATTACCAATAACTAGTGACTTAGTTGAACTCTATAGGAACATAGAATCGGAAATTTTGAAAGCCAAAAATATCGTGGATAGCAAAGATAGAAACAATCATAGTTGGATACGTTCAGCAACATTTGTGTTGGCTCAACTAATATAACTCAATAAAAGACGATCTGGAGAAGCAGCGAAGATGAAAATGAGTGACTTTATTTCAAGACCAAGTTCGAGAGAGCAGAACACTGAAGGAATTCAGCAGTCTCTGGCTTCAATTGAACGAAAGTTGGCAGAAACCTTGTGTATCGTTGAAATAGAGGTAAAACGTGGCAGAAAGGTTCCAGTCATTCTCACACCTATAGTTAAGGATTCTATCGACATTCTCATCAGACACAGGGATGCATGTAAGATGAATCTCCATAATAAATTTGTATTTGTCGATCTAATCTGCAATCTGTCAGCTTCCTCAGGAGACATGATTGTTTGCAAAAATTTTGCGAGGAAACAGACTTGGAGAATCCAGAAGTGATAACTAGTACCAAGCTAAGAAAATATATAGCAACTGTGTGTCAGTTATTCAATATTTCCGAAAATGAATACGACTGGCTTGCTCGACACTTGGGACACGATATAAGGGTACATCAATAATTTTATAGGCTGCATGAAAGTGCAATAGAATTGACGAGAGCCAGTAGGTTATTGATGACAGTAGATCAAAGTGAAGCCAATAGGTTTGCTAGAAAGCACATTCAAGATATTGAACTTGAAGGTGATTATATTTTCATCACCCATTCACAACATCAAAATATAACTCTTCACTCTCTGCTTTCATTGCGCATAACAATTACAACATCGAGTTCATTTATAAATATTATTATTTCAGAACTACCTAATTCAGAAGAAGATGAAGAAGATAAAGATTTTAACGAAAAGAGAGATAAAAAGCTTCTCTGGTGCGAGTGACACCGTTATTGAAACTAAAGCAGGTGAGTATACAGGGAAAACAATAACGGGAAATATGTCAATTTATATACTAACGTCTAGAGAAGCTATTCAGCTCTAAGATTTTCAATAATCTAGTACTTTCGGAAGTAGATTTTTAATTTGCTCCTTTGATTCATTCAATTTTCTTCAAATTTTCTATTTTTCTCGAAATTTTGTACACATTTCTTGTATAATAATCTATACTCAACTTTAAACTGCCTGATTTTCAATATCATCGAATGAAAATGATTTATTCAGGATGAAAAATGATTATGATTATTTTTTCCGTAAAAACCTATTTATTATACAATGCTTATTGTTTTCTGTAGAGCGGTGAACCCAATTTAACAGAATTCTACTAATTCCAGATTTCTGAGTAGTACAGTACAATAAATTGAGTTCATTCACTAATGAAAAAGTTGATTATGAGTCAAACAAACGGAAGAAAAATTACTTCGATTGAGTCGAATAATCAATATACTATATTTTATTCAGATATGTAGTATACAGGGTGGCCCAAATTTCGTTGTCCCACTATTGCTATCTCTGGAACGGTTAGAAATAGAAAGTTGGTTAAATGGAACAAAAGTTGCACATTTCCGAATAGATGAGGATTATGTGAAGAAATCGAAGATATCATGAGCCGTTTCAGAGCTAATTGAGAAAAAACAAAATTGTCAATTTTCCTTTTCCGGCGCTGGCTCATTTATTTCAGTAAATAAAGAACAACTTCACTGACATTTTTCCTTCTATTCCGTATGTTTATCAATATTGTAATATCAGATTTTAGATAAAACGTTCCGTTAATGCCGGGCGACCCTCAACTTTTTTTCGAAATACGGACCCGTTTTTTTTTCTACAAAAATAAATTGGATCTTTTCATTCTGCATACAGACATATATCACACTTATAGTTTTTGTCTGTGTAGTTCTTTTATTTTCCGAAATGAAAGGGCTAGTAGCGCCTGAAAACGAAAATCGACAATTTTGTTTTTTCCAAATTATTTCTGGAACTGCTCATGACATCTTTGATTTCCTTGCATAATCCATGTGTCCTTCCAAATTCGCAAATTTTGTTCCATTTAACCAACTTTCTATCTCTAACCGTTTCAGAGATAGCAATAGTGGGACAACGAAATGTGGGCCACCCTGTATACAATTTTCTGCGTGGAATATAGCCAGGAAAGTAGTTGTTTTTCTCTGGTTATCTACCATTTTCGTTCATTTTATGAACTAGTGTGGTAATGACTTTGAGTTTCTCTCTTTTTGTGACTATTGTATTCCACTTTGAGTATTTGGCTTTCTCCATAGTTGAAAATACGCCAGTCGGGAACCAGCCTTAAATTGGAATTTGTTCTGTTGATAGTGGTGATGATACCGAAAGATTTCTCATTTTTTCTACTGCTGGTAATCTTCGTTATCTTTCATCTTGTGATGGTACGTTTCGTTCAGTTCCATCCATTTTCTGCCAATTGATTACCATTCATGGCTATAATATACAGAAATATTTGCCTCTTGTTTTCGTGTGGGCTCCCAATAAGTCTGAAAAAACGTACTCTGCATTTTTGAAGCATATAAAAACGCTAGAAAAAATGTTAAAGCCTAAGTGGCTCATGATTGATTATGAGCTTGCCTTTGTGAATGCATTTAAAAAGCATTTTCACAAAACGGATATTGAGGGATGTCTGTTTCATTTCAGCCAATGTTTATGGAGTCACATTCAAAGATGTGGAATGCAGATTCAATACAACACCGATGTTGAATTCTCGCTAAACGTGCGTAAGTTGATGGCACTGGCATTCGTTCAAGAAGAGGGCGTCTTTTCTGCGTATGATACATTGATCAAATCAGATTTTTATGATAGTCATGATGAAGAATTATCGCCGATTATTGATTACTTCGAGGAAGTTTGGATAGGGCGTGAGTCTCGAAGTCGACGTCGCCGTAAAGTTCCACATTTTCCGATATCTATGTGGAACTGTTATAAGTCAATATTGGAAGATAGAATCCGCACGAATAACAATATAGAGGGTTGGCATAGAGGGTTCAATAGAAAAGTTGGATACAATCATGCACAGATTGACGTTTTCATAAACGCGCTCAAGTTGGAGCAAAACTTGACCGAAATGGCCATCACCCAAATCAAAACTGGAGCTAATGTTGTTGTCGCGCAACGTCGCGCTTATCGTGTGAGAAACGCGAGACTGAAAAATATTGCTAGTAGTTATGCTGAAGATAACATCATGGATTATTTGACTATTGTAGCCCATGTATAGTAGCACCGAGGGATATGACGCGGTGGGGAATATGACGCGCCTGTTCCATCTCCGTTATGTAGTGATCTATGATCATTATGATCTGATCATCCTTTATCTCCATTGCCGGTTACCATGTAGACAGCAAGGAGTTCAGTGTTGAGTCAACCGTCAACAATGCAGCACGCATTTTCGTCGTCTGATCAGGTGAGCACAAGTTTTTTAGCGCCATTTTGAAAGCTTTGTTTTATGCTTCCTTCTAGATTTTTAATTGGTTTTATGAATTGTATCGCATTGTATGCCTTCTAAAATTAATTATATATAGTAAATTCAATCATGTGGGTCTTTGTTATGATTTAAATATTTTATAAATAAAATGGTGGCTAGCTAGTGATATGACGCACATTGTGATCCAGTGATATGACGCGCGTCATATCCCCGTCTCTTAAGAACTTAGGAATCTATTTTGTACTTTTTCAGAAATGCTAAACTACAAAGCGAAGGGGCTGAGAGGGACTTGGTCGGAGGAAAATCTGCTTGCAGCTGCCCAAGCGGTTGCTGAAGGATCATCCATTAGAGGAGCAGCAAAAGCGAATAGAATACCTGAAAAAACTCTACGCCATCGTTTGGAATCAAATAATCTCGTCAAGGGAAAACTAGGATCACCACCAGTCCTTGGCTGGGATGCAGAGAAAAAAATCGTTGTACACGTGAAGAGACTGCAAAAGGCTGGATATGCCCCAACAAAAACTGCTCTGCGCAAGATGGCGTATAATTTGGCAGAGAGAATGGGCAAACTCCCATTCACACATATCTGTGGAAAAAATCGTACTGCAGGCAAGGGGTGACTTCAAGCTTTTCTTAATCAGAACCCTACTCTCTCGATAAGGAAAGCCCAAGGGGTGTCCAAGGCCCGAGCAGATGGAATGAACAAACAGGAGGTCGCAGATTATTTTGCAGTTTTAGAAAGTACTCTCCCAACCCCATTGGGAATATGACGCAAAATTACGGGAGTATATTATACTATCTTATCCAAACCTAGGTATATATGAATGACTATATGTTAGTTCAGAAGTAAATTGGATATTTTTCTCTTGAATTGTGTTGAAGTCAAGAAAAATATATCAGCATCCGTCTGTAGATTATTGTAACTTCGACACATGGAACTAACTGGACAGGTGGAGAGTATGTGGAATTGAAATACGAAAAGTTATATTCGATCTTGACGCCAACCGTGGTATATTGAAATTTAAGGAAGAAACTAGGGTTGAGCAATTAATACTGTTGTTTACAATTTTATGAATGAATATTAAGTCACTTTTCTCCCGACATTTACGTATGGAAGGCAGATTGAATTCGTCCAGTAGTGCATTGTAATCAAATCCTCTCTGAGGATACTTTTTATGTTTTTTAAAATAAAGAAACTTTACGAATTTTCTCTGTACAGACTCTATGAGATTGACATGATTTTGTTGACAAGGGTTCCAGACCGTGCTGCAATATTCAAGTTTACTTCTGACTAGTGAAAAATATATAGTTTTGATAGCATCAAGAGACTCGAATTCCTTACAATTTCGAATCAAGTAACCCATCATTTTTATGGCTTTGGTAACAATGTTTTCAACATGATTAGAAAATGTGAGTTTATTATCAAACATGACACCAAGATCTTTAGTATTCAACACACGGGATAAAATGGTATTATCTAAAGTATAATTATATTCAATCGATTCGACCTTTCGGGAGAAAGTCATTACCTTGCATTTGTTGATATTTAGATAAAGCCTGTCACGAATACACCAGTCATTTAGAGAATCCAAGTCATTTTGCAATGACACACAGTCTGATACATTCTTAACCTCTCTATATTCATATCATCAGCATACAGTAATTTCTGAGAAGAAATGGAATCACAAATATCATTTATAAATAGTAGGAAAAGTAAAGGTCCCAGATTAGACCCTTGGGGAACACGAGACGATCTCTGCACAGGAATCCAGATCAAGCTGCTCAGTACCCTTTCCCAAAGGCAGAGAATGCCATGAGGGCTGCACGCAGAAAGAGTACCCCTCCAATACCTGCTACTTTGGGCGATTTGGGAATATTGCTAAATGGGGATTTGGGAGAACGCTATATCTGCCTTGGCAGAATTTCCAAATCAATAGTGACAGAAAATGGCACAGCCTTGTTTCTGTTTTTTGAAGAGCTTCTTAACTCTGCTGTGGCAGGTATGAGTAAACTACACTTTGATGGGACTTTTAAAGTTGTCCCGAATTCTCCCAGTATCCGCCATCTATTCACAGTCCATGGGATAATACAAAATACGGAGTTGAATATGAGCATACATTGAAGGTGATGGGTTTCATAGTGGTTTCATCCCTTCGGAAATAACTTCGTGCCTAATAATTATGCAGTTACTAATGAGTTATCATTGATTTATAATTGAAGGCATTTTGAGCAGATGAATTAAATAGATGTATCATATTATCATTCCTAATTACATTCTAATGCAAGATTATTTCCTCATTGCAGTCAGTGGTGCTTATGTATGTACTCATGACTGGCAGAACTTTGGGATCATATAACGATGTTCTGAGATATGTAAAAAACATAGTCCCCACTCTCCACCCTTCCATAATCATAAGCGATTATAAGGGGGCTCTGCAGAGAGCGTTATCAGAAGCATGGCCTGATGCTGAAGTGAAAGGGTGTTTCTTTCATTATTGCCAGGTAATGAAATTTTCAAGTGTGTGATATTCATTCGCATTTATTGGGAATGATAATATTTGTATGACTATATCGAAGGACACTCTTTCTATGTTATCAGTTTTAACTATGATGCTACTGTTGGAAATAGTTATCAATTCGAATGTAGACTGAGATATCCAGTGAGATATCCAGTTTTATTTTATATAAACTGGGTGTTTTCGAAACTTGGGCAATCAAATGAATTGATGATAGAAGAAAATACAAAACGAAATGAATGAATGGATTTTAATCGAAAAACGAATATTATCGGAGATGTCAAGCTTTGTAAATCATTGATCAGAGGTTAAAAGCCCAACCCAAGCGTTTGCTTTCGGCGAGATTACCAACACCGGAATTTTCAATGACTTTTGCAAGTAGAAAAATGTACCTAGTATGGTGGGAGTGCACATTTGTCGAAAAATTTTCATTTTATTCATCGTCCCTATTTTGGAAATACACTGTTTATTCTATTACAGATCGCGTCTAGCAAGTTAACTTCCACGGTACAAAATATGATATTGTCCACCTAAGTTAGAAGTTGTTTATTATATTTCCAATATTTTTTATTCACGAGTTTAGTCATTACTTGTCGATACTGTCGAAAGTGTGATTTTGAAAGTGAATCAATTGTATCTCACGTATCGCATAAACTTGCATGTTCCTTTAAGTTAACTTTTAGGTTTTTTTGGCACGCTAGAAGAAAAAATAGTGTACCCAACACGTGCGTAAAGTGACTTTTCCGCACGCGATTGCTGGCCGATCTCCGCTGACGGCGCTGAAGCGTCTTTCGGCCATCTGCAATCGCCTGCATGAAAGTGTCACTTTCCTCACTTTTTAGGCAATAGTATATTCCTGATATGTGTTGTAAAAAGCATATTACGCACGAATGGAAATTATGGAATTGCCATTATTTGTCTTTCAAAAATAGTTCGTTTGTAATATTTTTGTTCTTGACAGTGGATATGTTAAACGCTGTTGACGGCGATCACGCCATCATGACATACTTGCGGAATTCGCGATAAAAATAATCATACGCCACATATCAGAGTTCTTGAAAGCTGTCAAAGCGACCTATTTAATTTGTTTTCATTAGTTCACATTTGTTTTTTCTTTATGCATATTGGTCATATCATCAGAACAAACCACTCAAATGTGTTTCAGTTGTTGCCGTCAGGTGGGGCGACGTGTTATTTTCTATTGCGAATATACGAAAACTGTACTGTACTGAGGCTGTATTTCGTGTGTTCTTGCCTATTTTCTTTAGTGACCGTAGCTAAAATGAATTATTCAAGAATGTAGGTAATTAGGTAATTTGCGTGCTGTTTGGAAAAAAATGAGGAGATTGGGTTTTCTTCAATTAATAAATAATAATGGCACAGCTTTAAAAGCAGTAGAAATGACAATGGTTTTGTCCCTATTACCGGCTGAAAATATCCAGGAAGGATACGAAGCAATAAGAACATGCACCACAAATAATAATGTGGATCTAGATTCATTTTTTGACTATATTTTGAGGTAACTTCATTTCATTCTCAATTATAGAGCTTAGATATAGAACGTTTATTCATTACAGATATTGGATCAGACAGGCTGGTCCTGCCAGGATATCTGTTCACAACTTACCGAGGCGAGCGAACAATAACGTGGAATTATTCCACAACAAATTGAAATTGAAATTCGGGGTGGCCCATCCAAATATTTGGAAATTTGTTGGTAGGTTCATTAAAATGAACAAATGATGCTCCTTGTTGAATAATTTTTCATAAAAACTCATTTTATTCGTTTTGGATATTAAATACAACAGACTACTAGCAAATGAGGAATTAAGTCTTGAAGTGCCTACCTCATAGTATTATACACATATTACAACTAGCTGACCCAGCAAAACGTTGTTGCTCATGTACGTTATTTCTAGGAAATATTTTTCAGTTTGAATATTCACCAACACACTAATATTATTTTATTTTCTACTTCTTTTCAGTTTGGCTTCACTGAGAAAAAAATCGAATAGCGGTTATTGGAAATTGAATAATCTTCATAAAAAAATTGAATCAAATAGGGGACAGCCTAGTCAAGTTGATGATCGAATATTTTTTTCCAAATAATTTTCCAGAATAGAAAAAATCTATTTAGCACTTTACATTTTTGAAGCTCTGTCAGAGAGAATTACATCCATATAAAAATCTTTCTAATACTCTTGGAAACGAAGGAGAGAAGATAATATGTTGAAAATACACTATTTTTCACCCATTAGAGAACTTTCAATGTTTGAAGAATTTCACTTTTTCAATATATTCATTTCCGATTATTTTTTTCCTCATGATGAACTTTCCACTGAATATAAACTTCGAAAATTGAATGTGCCAAATAGATTTTTTTTATTCTGGACAATGATTTGGTGAAAAAAAATTCGATTATCAACTTGAATTAACTAGAGTAAAATTGATCATTCCAATACAAAGGTTTTAGCCAAAAGATCTTTTTTTCTATTTTTTTTTATGTAATCATTTAATGAAGAATTATTTGATCAACGATCTCACCTATACCTAGCGTATAGGCAAAGATAAATTGGTACAACAAAAATATAAATGCTGTCATGAATTTGAAGAAGAACTGCCCTGAACTAAACTCTGTAGATGGTAGCAAATGAGAAAATTGAACTTTAGAAAAAACAAGTTTAATAATGAACAAAAAAAAAATTGAATATGACTTACGTTAAAATAAGTGGTTGAAAATTGAATAACTCCAACATTTCAAATCAAAATATCACTCCTAAATGTCTCGGTCAAGCCCAGTTTTTGCACACTTTTAACCATCAGGTATCTTTAAAAGCGTGTTTTCCTAATCAAACTACTATTTATATTCTCCTTTTTTTTTTTCAATTATATGCTTGATAAAAAAAATGTCATTGTTTATTTGGCACCTACACTGAATACGACCCTGAGAGCTGAATCTTTGGTCTTAGAGGATTGGTCACATAAAAACATTTGATCAGAAACTCCATACCAATAACATATGTGAATTCCAAGCAAATCCCACTGTGGGCCAATTCCCTATGGTTTTGTGCGGGGTAGTAAAGGTGCTATGTCTTTTCTAGCTA